TAATTCGCTGCTGGCAGTTATTTCTGACCTGTGAATATTATTTCCAGGTAAAACATCTAATTAATTATTCTCAACTGTTACGTACACAGCGCTCATTAAAAATATTATGCAAGAGAAACATTTTTAAAATTTCTGCCTGATTTTGCTACACAAAACCATTTGTAAAGGAGGAAATTTAAGTCAGTTTGTTTAATAAAACAATTAGCCGTGTTTATTCCGTGTTTATTAAATATTTCATGTTGTCTGGAACTACCGTACCGATTACTCTAAAATTTTAACGTATATACGTGAGATTACCTTGGAGATACCAAAACATTATTAATGGATTCTTGACCGAAATTTATATATTCATGCTCTAGTTTCCACCGATGTATCATCTGTATGTATGTCTGATGTCTGTTGACTGTCTGTTTGTAAAATTGTAAAAAAAGTTGTCCACAAAAAAAACTCTGACATTTCTCTTCTAGATTCTTTGTAAATAAAGTAAATAAGGTTTTTTCCAATTCAAGAGAAAATTTCGAAGTGCATATCAATCAAATTTGCTCAAAAAATATTTTACGAAAACACTGCGATGAGAAAGGTTAACCGGGACCAAAGGAATGCTTTTAAAATCCATGTTTTTCGAAGAATTAGGTAAGGAAAATTAACAACAGTGTTAGTTCCTTTTGTAAGCACAATTCAATAGTTCTATGGAAACCACTATCTATGTATACAAGCGCTATTATCATGAATTTATTATGATGACAATCTTGTCGTGTGTTTGTGTTATAAATGGGAAAATTTTTTGCTAACGTCTAATGAACAATATTATTTTGATAAGACGTATTTACGATTTCAACAGTATGCATAATGTTTACAAAAAATAATGATAAAGCTACTCTTCTAACACAAAAATCTCGATAAATATAAAAAAGACGACAGCAGACTGTTATAATACAGGGTGTCCTAACGAACGTTTAACGTTGAATATTGAAAATATTCGTGTGTTGATGTCAAGGTGCAAATTCCGTCTAATGATTTTTTTAAACTCTCTGTATATTTTTAGAAATTTAGATCATTTGGAAAAAGAGGAAAAAGTGATGACGTTAAATTGAAGGTTTTTCGATTAATCAGTCATATCTAAGATTTTACAGCTCGAGCAGATAGAGGACTGAAATTTTAACGAAAACTGTTTAGTCACCACATACGTAGTTTAAGCTTATTTATACAGGGTGACTAAACTTTCGAATTGTCAGGTTTTCAAATGGAACTCTCAGAATTTTACAACATTTTGGACATTATTTCTAAGTAAGCTTTCTTTTGATAACAGATTTTCTGGTGTTTATCAAGGCGTTTGAAAAAAACTGGTACAATAAACAAAAAATTGTGTATTAAAAGAAGATATGCTTACAGAGTAGTTCAAAAATGTTATAAAATACAGGGTGCGCCATTTGAAAAATAGACTAAACGTCGAGAAAACATGAAAGTAGATTGACTTCGAGAGGTAAAAAACTGACGAGTGCTTCCAGTTATTGATACGAGATAATTATCTCTCGTAAGCTACTTTCATGTTTTCTCGACGTTTCATTACCCCAAGGGTACAAAAAATAAGCCTCCAGTCTGTCTATGGTCTGTCGATCGTCTGTCTGTGGTCTGATTGTCGTGTGATTCTCGTCTGTCTATCATGTGTCTGCCGTCCGTCTGTCGTCTTTCTGCCTTCTGTCTGGCGTCTATAATCTGTCGTCTGTCGTCTGTCTGTTTTCGGGCTGTCGTCTGTCATCTTTCGTCTGTCTGTCGCCCGTCTGTCGTCTGTCTGCTGTCTGTTTGGTCATTAGTCGTCTATCTGTCGCCTCTCCATCGTCTGTCTATCGTCTTTTCGTCGTCTGTCTGTGGTCTGTCTGGCGTCTGTCTTTCGTCTGTCTGTCGTCTGTGTGTAGTCTGTCTGTTATCTGCCTATCGTCCATCTGTCGTATGTCTGTCGTTTATCTGTCGTCTGTCGGTCCTTTGCCTGTTGTCTGTCTCTCGTCTGTCTGTCGTCTATCTGTCGTCTGTCTCTCATCTGTCTCTCATTTGTCTCTAGTCTGTCTGTCTATCTGTTGTCTGGCTGTCGTTTGTTTGTTTGTCGTCTGTCTATCATCTGTCTGCCGTCTATCGTCTCTCGTCTGTCTATCTTCGGGCTGTCGTCTATCATCTTTGGTCTGTCTGTCGCCCGTCTGCCATCTGTCTGTTTGGTCATCTGTCGTCTGTCTGAAGGCCTTTCTATCGTCTGTCTATCTTCTTTTCGTCGCCTGTCTGTCGTCTGTCTGGCGTCTGTCTTTCGTCTGTCTGTCGTCTGTGTGTAATCTGTCTGTTGTCTGCCTATCGTCCGTCTGTAGTCTGTCTATCGTTTGTATGTCGTCTGTCGGTCCTTTGCCTGTTGTCTGTCTCTAGTCTGTCTGTCGTCTACCTGTGGTCTGTCTCTCATTTGTCTCTCGTCTGTTTATCATCTATCTGTCGTGTGTCTCTAGTCTGTCTGTCTATCTGTTGTCTGGCTGTCGTTTGTTTGTTTGTCGTTTGTCTATCATGTGTCTACCATCTATCTGTCGTCTCCCTGCCGTCTCCCTGCCGTCTCAATGCCGTCTGTCATCTGTCGTCTGTCGTCTGTCGTCATTCGTCTGTCTGTCTTCGGGCTGTCGTCTGTCAACTTTCGTCTGTCTGTCTTCGGGCTGTCGTCTGTCATCTTTCGTTTGTCTGTCGCCTATCTGCCATCTGTCTATTTGGTCATTTGTCGTCTGTCTGTCGCCTCTCCATCGTCTGTCTATCGCCTTTTCGTCGTCTGTCTGTCGTCTGTGTGGCGCCTGTCTTTCGTCTGTCTGTCGTCTGTGTGTAGTCTGTCTGTTGTCTGCCTATCGTCCATCTGTCGTCTGTCTGTCGTCTATCTGTCGTCTGTTTCTGGTCTGTCTCTCGTCTATCTGGTATCTGTCTGTCGTCTGTCTCTCATCCGTCTCTCATTTTTCTCTCGTCTGTTTATCATCTATCTGTCGTGTGTCTCTAGTGTGTCTGTCTATCTGTTGTCTGGCTGTCGTTTGTTTGTTTGTCGTCTGTCTATCATGTGTCTGCCGTCTATCGTCTGTCGTCTGTCTATCTTCTGGCTGTCGTCTGTCATCTTTCGTCTGTCTGTCGCCCGTCTGCCATCTGTCTGTTTGGTCATTTGTCGTCTGTCTGAAGGCCTCTCTATCGTCTGTCCATCGTCTTTTCGTCACCTCTCCATCATCTGTCTATCGTCTTTTCGTCGTCTGTCTGTGGTCTGTCTGGCGTCTGTCTTTCGTCTGTCTGTCGTCTGTGTGTAGTCTGTCTGTTATCTGCCTATCGTCCATCTGTCGTATGTCTGTCGTTTATCTGTCGTCTGTCTCTTATCTGTCTCTCGTCTATCTGTTATCTATCTGTCGTCTATCTCTTGTATGTCTTTCGTCTCTTTGTCGTCTATCTAGTCTGTCGCCTATCTGTCATCTATTTGTCTATCGCCTGTCTGTCGTCTGACTATTATCTGTCTATCTGTCATCTGTCGTCTGTTACTGCTTGTGGTCTGTCATCTGTCTCTCGTCTGCCTGTCTTCTATCTGTGGTCTGTCTGTGGTCTGTCTGTGGTTTATTTGTCGTTTGTCTGTGGTCTGTCTGTAGTTCGTCTCTCGTCTGTCTGTCGTCTGCCTGTGGTCTGTCATCATCTGTTTGTCGTTTGTCTGTCATGCATCTGTCGTCTGTTCATTGTCTGTTTGTCGTCTGTCTGTCGTCTGTCTCTCGTTCGTCTGTCGTCTTCCTCTCGTCTGTTTGTCGTTCGTCTCTCGTCCATCTGTCGTAGATCTGTCGTCTGTCCATCGTCTGCCTCTCGTCTGTCTGTCTCCATCTATCATCTGTTGTGATCAATGACGATTGGATTTTTGAAGATTTGTCTTTGATAAAATTTTTCGCAGTGTCAGATTACCATCAATTCTAGACAAACTTTCAAAAATCCATAGCTGTCTTTGATTGTGTTTTTATTACTCCCTCGGCAGAATGAACCTTGGTAAGTCAAGGGGAGTAAAAACATTTTAAGGAAAATACTAAACCTCCAACTTTAAAAATAGCGGAAATATGAATTTTGAAACCTAAGGAAATGTTGTGATTAGGTATGTTCGGTAAATGGCTACTTTCATATTTTGTCGAGATTTCATGACTTCTAGAGTATGACCTGCCCTGATCTGACGTGACCTCTAGAATATGGAACAATAGGTCTTCCGTTTTCGTCTGTCTGTCGTTTTCGTAGATTTTTATTAGACCGATATTCTTCGAAACTACGGACCGATTACTTAAGAAAAAACGTGCAGACGGCCAAAACCTAATCAGAATTTGTCTAAACATTCCCACCAACAATTTAGTGACGTCGCCTTAAAATTTTGCTAAGCAAATGTTATTAAAATTCTATAAAATAATATTTTTTTACCGTAAGTACTCAGATTTTTGAAGAAAACATCAAAATTTTGTAAAAACCTTTTTATGCCGAGAGAGCAATAAAAATGCGATCAAGGGCAACCATTGATTTTTGAAGATTTATCTTTGATACAATTTTCGGGTTCTCAGATTATTACCAGCAACTTCAAAGTTTTTTCTAAAATCATATCTCAGACTTGGACAAATATTCAAAAATCCATGGCTACCTTTGATCGTGTTTTTATTACTAAGTTTATTTTTTCTTACACTGACTGGCACTGTCTATGTTTTTTTTTTATAAAACACTGGATTTGCTTGATTGTAGTTCAGGTGCCAGAGAACGTCTGTAAAATAACATAAAAGCAATTTTTATACTTCTGTTAACATACAAATTTTCAAAAAACTGTCGCCCAACAAACAAAATTACATTAAATTTCATTCTATTTATCTACTCATTTTTGAAGAATCTTTCGAACGTGGGCATGTTTCAGCAGCTACGCTGTAATTTTTGTGTGTTGGAGCGATCATTATTAGAGTAAAAATGTAGATAATAATGTCTTGTTTTTTTTGTTGCAGGTGAATTTCAAAGCGAAATTGAGGATCCTATTGTTTTGGGTAAGTATCAATAAAAATAAATTAAATGAGTAGATATCCCGTAAAAGCCAAGTTTAATGAGAAAAATACAAAAAAAAGGTTGTAAATTCAGGTTTTCTTCCTACGTATCTCTGAAAAGTGAAAGTATATATGTATGCGATGTAAAACAACAAACCAAGTATGTCTTATATTTCATAAATTACTCGTCATTAAACTTGGCTTTTACAACATACTAACTATAAAGGAGCCATTACCTAATCTGAAAAACGCGTAATTTAATGGTAGTCAACGATCGACAAAAACGACGTTTTTTTTGGTTGCAAAGTGTCCATAAATTTTGTTTATTATTAAAACAAAAAAAAAAACGTTAGATTCAGTCAATATCGAACTTTTTCCCAAGTGTGTATTATCACCGAAGTGAAAATTCCCACAAAATAACAACCAACGTATATTCCTATGATAAATGAAACTCATACCAGACAGAAGATAATATCATCTCAGCCTCGTCGGCAGCATTACTTTAAAACTAATTCTTGCGGGATTTCTCTAAGTAAGACACCGAGCTTTTAAGTCTGGCGCAGATTTCCCATCGACTTTTCCTATTTTGCCGCAGAAACTAGCAAAAACCCACTTCCTCTGCCCCTAATAACGCATTTGCATCCTCCACAAAGCCGTGCGGAAAAAAGTGCATTTCCTCCCTACTAAGACGCAGATTACCGCACCGTGTCAAGATTAACAGGAATTTAGACAGCAAACAACAGGCCCACCCGGACGCCCTTATCAATACCCGTGTCTTCACCCCACGAAGCAATTAATCATCGAGAGAATGAAGAAAATTTCCGCGATAAATTCAAAACGAAATATTTGCATCTAATTAGGGGAAGCTGCGACTCGAAGGCCACTTTTGGCGCGATCTCGAGTATTGTGGGTGTGATGGATGGCTCATAAGCGGCATGTGAACACTTTTTAATCCACTTTAATGCAATAATCTGGTCAAAATTAAATTTCTTTCGGTGAGGACTCGCAAAGAAACGTGCTCCAAAGTTTGAACTCCATGAAGTCATTTCATTAGGCAGTTTTTGTGCGGTAAAGCTAAACTTTTAAGGGATGGAGTGGCGCACTTTGTTGAACTGAATTTATGCCGGCGATCGAGGGCCGGGCGAAGACGGGCTTGTTTAGCAAATTGAGGTGGATGGAGGCGGCGCCGAAGGTAATCAGGTGCTCGCGAACGTAATTTGAAATATTTTTGGGGTGACTGTCGCATTTTTGCGATTTTAGTGTCTTATATTAATCTAAATCTAATTATCTTGCTTCTGTTTATATTTTATCTTATTAGACTAGTAGTAGTTGTAAATTGCGCCTTGTCTTCTCATCCGAACACTCTTTCTAGCTAGTAATGTCACGTACTCACTAAACTACACTAAAATGTTGTTTTAAAATATCATATAAAGCTTCAAATCTCTCTTCTTTCATTTTCAATCAAATTAGCTTCAAAATATTGCTCCAATCGTTCCAAATAACAACAACAATGTATTCTTCAATATTACCAATATTAACGCAAACTTTTCTTGACTTAAGTACTTAAATAATAGTTGATAAATTAAAAATGAAACTTTATTTTTAAGATGTTTCCTTTTACACAACAAAATTTTTTCAAACGTCTAGCTAGTTATATCAAGGAAGAGTGTTTGGATGAGAAGTCGACGTACAATTGAAGTTCTCCATTATTATTTATTTTTATATTTACAGATATTACGTCTGAGGTTCTAAATTTAGTACACTTTGGTTTGGATTCTAATAGGAAAAGGGATCAGTTGTCTGTAAATATTTTCTTGGGGTTTATTTGTTTCACAAATCGCCTTATTTTTTCTTTGATATTTTCACCGGTTAGCTGCCTCGTACTGACCATCTACTAAGACAAAATCACCACAGGTTTGTTCAAAATTGTCATTCCCTTTTGTTAGTAGACAAAGTAGATTACGCTACGATAAACAAAATGTTCAGCTCTAGTTTTTTCCAAGCGAGTGCTTGCGAATCTCTAGCCAGTGCGTATCAGTTCGGAAAGTACTCGAACAATGATCCGCGAAAGTAAAGGGTTGCGGCAGAACGGCGATGAATAATGTTGTTGGCATCGTAAACTTATATCTTTTAAGGATGACTGCTCAATAACTATAAAAGTGCCGAACGACGTCGTGTTTCAGATAAACTTGTTCGAAGTGACGCCGTCGAGGTTTATGCGAGCCTTTATTAATTTTCTTGGCGGAATTTTTCGCAAGAAAACCCCGACCCGACACGAAAAACTGCTTACCTGGTGAAAATCTCATTTATCAATACCTTAAACCAGAGCTACGAGTTCCGTTTTATTAGCTCGCAACAATAGCGGAGACGGTGTAGGAATTTCGAGATCGATCACTTCCAGCTGAGTAATTAGCGAGCGAGCGAAGCGAGCTACGTCTCATACGAAATTATGTCCCGACATTTATTACTCCAAGGCATTCGCCAGCCTTCAGACAAGTCGAGATCCCAAATCTCAACTCAGTTTAGTATTCATACTGAGGTTATGTGAACAGAATTCGTAGCCGTTTAATTAACACGCTTTTACGAGTTGTTTGTCAGTTAACATTTTATTATTTGCTCGAGAGTATCCACGGTTATTTCGTACCGACTTTACGACATCATCAACCCAAGCTAAAGAGGGATGTAAAATTAATTAACGGATCTATGATTTATCGCTTCCCAATATTGTAGCGCGCTACGCTAAATGAATAATTAAAATCTTTACCCACATTTTAGCTAAGTTTTTACGGCGGGTAATGGCTCCAAACTCATTAAATTTTATCGGTTGACTTGAGAGTCTTCAGTGTGTTTCTGTTGTGCTGGATACTTCATTTTTTGCTAAGAGAAAATCAATTCTTGACAGTGATGGCTCGTTAGCAGCCGCACCGAGAGCAACTTCTCGCTTCTGTTTGTATTATTTAGTTTGGCGGAGTTAAGTTTGCAGGGAAAGAAAAATACTCGGGGATGATTGGGTTCATTCCGTTTTCTTTCTCTTTTTGAGGAAAAGCAAGCAAAAATTTAAACAATCTGGTGTGTCGAAAATTATAGAAATTATACGAACTCAATTTCATTTTAATTATTACTCACGAAATGCAAAGTCTTAAAGTTTAATCACAAACTATATCGAACATTTCCCAGTGGGATCATTTGAATAATATATTTTAGACATCGCTCTTGAGTCTCGCGATCTAGATGTCTTATTAGATTCACATTTAACATTCAGTACACACGTCCAATACGCTATTTCTAGCGCTAATAACATGTTACGCTTAATAATAATAATAATAATAATAACAATAAATTGATTAGAATTCAGTTGAGTTGAAAATAAATTGTGATTACACACTAATTGTATCTTAATATGTACACCTTCTAGTTCTATCCTGAGATATATTCACCTCTCTCCCATCTACCTCAACATCCCCGGAATCCTAATTCGCCCACCGCCGACACAAAGCCCTCGGAACCTTTGCCGTGCTCCGGGAAGCCGATATACCATCAGCATACACGCCATAATACTCATGCAAAATATGTTTGACAGCACGTGTAGATTAATCGTTCGAGCATTTCGCAATTATCGGCTGCCTCCTGTGCTCCTCCAAGGGCACTTTACAGCGAACAGAATAAATTGGGCTGCGCCCTCCAAGCCGCCGATAAAATTATAAGCATCTCAATATTATCCGGTTTTTACAACAGCCGGAGAAAAACGAGATGCGCGTCGAACGGGGCCGTGTTTTCGGCGATGGGGCTGTTCTCATCGTGTTGACACTTACGTCTCTTCGAGTGTTCCATCCTCGAAAATGATTACCGCTTTCACAGATTTTTTCGTGGGATCATCAGCGTTATGAATAAGGGAGCGGCGCAGGGCTGGTCGGTAAAAAATGTAGGTGGATGGAATGGCGGTTGGGGAGGGGGTTAATGTGGATAAAAAATGAGGATTGCGTCAGAGTTGGAATGGGGCTGGTTTTATTTTTTAATAAATAAACACTGTGACGATATGCAATTATTTAAGATTCTGATTCCGAAAATGTAGCATGTTGATGGTCACGGGGCAACATTTTCGAAAAAATCGGTACGAAATGCGAATTTTTGAAAATTTAAAAAACAAACCACCAGGATTCCCCGAGAGTCTTCCAGTTATTTCAAAAATAACACCTCAAGGCACATCGATATTCTTTCAGTTATTTCAAAAATAACACTTCAAAGACACCCGAGATTCTTTTAATTATTTCATAAAAACACGGAGTGCCCCCAAGATTTTTAGTTATTTGAAAAATAACACCTCCAGGGCCTCAGAGATTATTTCCAATTCTTATTTCAAAATCTTTAAGAAAAAAGAGATAAGTAGCCCCCAGGATTCTTTAACATTCTTTAAGAAACACACAAGGGACCTTAAGATTCGTTAATTATTTTTTTTGCAAAAAACCAGACAACGTACAAAAAAAATCGCTAAAAATTTGCGAATTATTAATGTTTTAAAACTAAATTTTACCGATTATTATTTTTGTTAAAGTAGCTTTATTTTGAGCCCAAACACGATGCAGTTATATCGTTTTATTCAGTTGTAAGTTAGCAAAATGTCAGACTATGTCGGACTGTCAAACGAAGAAGTAGCTTGCCTAAAAGAATTATATTCCACAATCGAGTCAGAGGATGAACTTAATGTTTCTGATGAGGAATTTGAAGAACCAGGCAAAATTTCCGAAGACTGTGGCAAAGTATTTCGAAATTTTTTCCAAAATTTGAACATTGTCGAGTAAATGAATCATGATAAATTAATACTGAAGTCGTACTTACCCCGTTTTCAGTTCTTTTCGGAAAAATATCCATTTTCTTTCGTGTTCACAGCACCAACACAACACATTTCCACTAATATTTATTAATAATAATTGAGAAATGCGCGAAAAGAGTCCTAATTTTAAGCCAAAGCGGAGCTCCAATGTTACTGCCATCAGACCGAAATC